TGAATAAGGGGTAGGCCGTTGTCATGTCTGCAGGTCTGAAACCACCTAAGCCTTCGTAGTACTCTATCACTCCTCCTCGACTGATTGCTATTGAGGGTTAGGTGGTTTGGCTTCGAGAGTGCTCACTAACACTACTGGTTTGAATAACTCCTTGTGAGGTCCTAGTTGGTTAAAACAAATCGCTTCCTTCCCGAGGGTAGAGAGATATATGGACAACCGGAATTTCACACTCATTGAGTAGAAGGATAGGCCTAAGGACAAGTTAGGAACCTTTTCTTGATTCTGAAGTGTAACTGAAAGTGAGATTTTCTTACCCTGATCGTACTCTAGGGAGACGGTAGCCATTTGTACCTGCATTATTTCCAATTGAAGCCTCACGTTTTTTTTTCTGCTGCGGTCTAGCTTTCCTGTATGAGACATTTTGTAGTCACCTTAGCAACGTGATCTGCCGTACGGATTACGAAAATTTCAATGAAGGAGAATAGCTTGCTTGAGAAAGTTGAGTTTCCGGAGTAATGAAGTCCTCAAGGGTGTAGGAAAGGTCTTGTTGCCATACGAACTTATGACGTATGTGTGCAGCATCGACGGTCCGCTTTCAGTGGTGTTATCACCGTCTTGGTCGTTGAAGCCAGAGAAGCCGTGCACTTTCTCGGCAAGAAACGATCATCTTTCCAATTCCTTGTCGTCTTGCTCCTGCTTTTCACGGAAAATCTGAGCACCAGTAAATACTCTTGCCCGGAACGCATTAGATCTTGCATACACTGCCCACGACATGGTTCTAAGACAGGAAATTGCATGAATACTTGTTAAATGGGTATTCAACGGAATATGGGATGGGTAAGCAGTTCTAGTGTTAGCTTACGCCATGTTACATATTCCAATCAAAATCTTACTCGTACCAAAAGCATTTGAACAGGTCTTCGGCTTACTTATACGACGGCTCGAGGAACCTTTACTGGTGACGAGTTTGACCAGCGATGTGAATAATTCTCACTTGCTTACCTAAATGCATCTGAAATTCACTGCAAGCAACACGGCTTCCTCGCTATCTGTCCTAGACTTTCTCAAGCTTCTTTAGTTGAGGGCTAACGAACCCCTTGCTCATGACCACGTTTGTAGCCCAACTCAGGCATGTTTAGTAAAATTTTATAAGTCACAAGAATTAGGTGATTACCGTAGAGACTCTGGAAAATCTGTAAAAGGAAACTACGAAGCTCAACTACAGTATCAGTCCGGATGACTGAGCAGGGGTCTTATTCGCTGTTATCGCAAACAACGCTTACTGACTATCACTAGAGCATTCAAACGCATCCAAAACATGAAATGGCCTATGATTTCATAAGTAGTCAGCTTCAAACATACCCTGCAGGCAACCATGCATGCCTCTCAAACTTAATCGCTTTCATTAACTAGCCATTCAGCTTTTTTTCAGTATCTGTCAACTTGATTATGATTCACTACAAACCTCTTTCATTTCGAAAAGCATCCTTACTTACAAACCATCCACCATCATTCTAGAATATAGAGTAAAACGCTCAACCTATGCATCCTTTAGAACCCATAGAAGGTGTGGAATCCAAAATTTACATGAAATGACACATAATCATGTCCTACACATATATGACAATTTATTCCTTGATCGTTTTCATTTGTCTACACAATTGCCTAAGTCGAAAGCGGGGTGCATATCTTGAAAACGGGATTGGTGGAGGTCGAAGACTCTATTCTTCATCCTTTTGCTGAGATTATTCCCTGCTAAGCTAATCAGCCGGTAGACAAAGGGATGGTGCTCATTTAGGTGAAAACTGAAAACTTTAGTTACTCGAGACATTCCCAGCCAGAATCCGATCAGGAAATGCTGACCGATGTAGAACTTGTACTTGTAAGAAGCTTTCCAGTCTGATTCAATTTTTGAGCGCGTCTCCTTGGAAGAGCCTTTGGAATCTCAAAAAAAAATGTTCGTGCATAAAGTACTTTGGAAAATCTTCAGTTCTCTAGGCAGCTGTGCTTGGAGGGTTTTATTTTCTTACTTAAAACGAGAGCTACTGGATATCTTGTTAAGAAAGTTTTGCCCACGTAACAGGAATGATCTTGAGAGTGACCTTTCGAGGAGCACGTAACATTTCAATTACATTTGGGGAACTTTTTTCACCTTGCGCTTCCGTTAATGTGAGGAGGCGACACTCCCACTCCCACGGGGGTCAGAGATGTCATCTGCCATTTACCTGCACTATGGTTCGGTCTTTTGAACTTGGCTTGTTCTTTTTGGATTAAACGGGTAGAAAGCATTGATTTCAACAGTGGAGAACAACATCACGCCATTGCTTCATTCCAAGGAACAATCTAATGACTCGAACTAATGATGGATATCAGTGAAAAAGCGAGTAGCACTGCTCTGTCACCTTGATACTTCAATTTGTTCTCAGTCCCTCATTTCTTCCGTATTCCTTGAAAAAAGGTCTTGCGACCATCTCGCCAAACGTTTCCCTGGGGACTCACCCTCCGTCGATAGTGCACACATCATCATCGTCACATTAAAGAGTCAAATATCACGTACTCATCTTTTTTCAATGGGTGGAGCTATTGCTCAGCTTTCGAGAAACTTACCCTTTCAAAGATTAGTGGCCAGTCATATTATCAAGCGCTCTGAATGTCGGTCCATATTGTTGTCACCTTTTGATTTCCTCAGATTCCGTATCGCCTCTAAGATTGTTAAACTAGCAAGCTAGGAGGCCAGTGGTATTCGAATGGCTTTCTCTTTTCTTGTATTCGCAGTCATTCAGACAGAAATATTTGTCATAGCCCCAGATATGTAGTGCATGCGGAACCATGCGCGAAGTGGAGGAAAGGGAGAGCTACATAGTTCCTCGTGTAGCTGCTTTCTTACCCATCTTTTGTCTGCTCTTCACGCTGCATGTAATCTGGCTCTAACATAGATTTTTTTTNTTTTTCAATGGGTGGAGCTATTGCTCAGCTTCGAGAAACTTACCCTTTCAAAGATTAGTGGCCAGTCATATTATCAAGCGCTCTGAATGTCGGTCCATATTGTTGTCACCTTTGGATTTCCTCAGATTCCGTATCGCCTCTATGATTGTTAAACTAACAAGATAGGAGGCCACTGGTATTCGAATGGCTTTCTCTTTTCTTGTATTTGCAGTCATTCAGTCATTCAGGAGCAGAAATAGTTGTCATAGCCCCAAATATATAGTGCATGCGGAACCATGCGCGAGGAGGAGGAAAGGGAGAGCTAGTTTCTCGTGTAGCTGCTTTCTTACCCATCTTTTGTCTGCTCTTCACGTTGCGTGGAATCTGGCTGTAATATGGATTTTTTCTGATTCTGTAATTTATGAGCCACTCGTGAAAAACTCGACTCGTGAAGTGAATGAGGGTCCAGTTGAACTCAAGGTGGGATTTTGGTTGACTTTCCAATGTTGTCATCTCCTCCATAAACGGGGCTGAAGGCAAAAGACATGAAGGTAATTAGGGACCGATCGGTCAAACATAATTTCCAGCTGTAAAATTCCTTAGCATTTGACTAGTGCTGCTTCTCAATTTCACTAAAGAATGAACTAAGTTAACCTTCGAGCACGCCTTTCTAATAGTCCGATCCTTCGAGATTCTGAAGAATATGCTTACCTTCAGTTCCTAATTCGAGTTTAAGATATATTCCTAATTTTATAGAACTTGTCAAGCCTGCCCCTTGAATTGTAAATACGCCTATTACCCACTTCTCCGTATCATCACACGGTTTAGCAAACTTTAGCTTCGCTTACGGTTGTTGTGACTTAGGAATAACGAACCATGGAATTGAGAGGAGGCCGGTCATGCCCTTTTATTACTGTATCGAAATAGTAATTTATTACTACAAATTAAGGGTTCATATCTTTATGTTGTCTCATCGTGGTTTTATCATGACTCCCGAACAAACTGGTTCTATCTTCGTTCCTAAAGAATCATGGCGTTAACCATTATTCCCTTGCATGTCAGCAAGTAAAGTATTCTCATACTGTCTGAAAGATCGTCGACTTTTCATAAGGAAGCGATCATACATTTCGATCTGTCCCACGCATCTCGGAAAAACGGAGCACTCTAATCACTTCCTACTGTTTTCTTTTGAATAGGGTTCTGTTTGTTTTCTTCCTGCTTACGTAGCACATACGTCTGTGATGTTTTCGACAAAGAAGGGAAATTAAGGAATTCTAATAGATGTTCACGAAGCCGGATCCTCTTTATTGGCTTCGATATTTCTTGAGGGCATTTGAGTATGCAGGTACCAAAGACCGAAACCTCATATTTCGTCTTTTTTCTTCTTCTGGGGCCATTCTCCCAAAATCTTCATTAATACAAGAAAAAGGCCCAATCATTTGGGCCTGTTCATCGTCAACATCACGCTTTCTTATAGTATATGGGCTGTCATAACATCCATTTGGAAGAAGAGCTGCCATTATTTTGGTAGCTTTGACGCCTTATTATGACACTTCCGAGATGTTTTTCTTGAGCAACGCGAGTTCTTGTCGTCTTCTTAGTGATGTCGCAATGACCGCTTTCTTACAGCTATTTGAGACCACTCGAATGGCCACGATGAGACACTTAGGCTTACAAAAAACTGGCAACCCCACCCCTTAGTGAGCGTTGTGTCAATGCGCGACAGTAGCGGACATTTATGTCAAAGGGACCAGGTGACTCAGCTTCTTCTTATGTTGTTGAGGACATGCGACAAAAGGCGCATTAAGAAAGTGGTATTTCGTAAAGTACGTACGAATGACTGCCTCAACACTCAGACAAATTACGGCTTCCGATCTACGGAGAATCGAGTGTGGCGCTTACCCAGGCGCACCAGAAAAGCAGCGAAGCCAGAAAGGAAGATCCGGCCTCCTGCGTCCTCCTTGGTTTTCCTTCCTTCTCTCCACTCTGTCGGGACTACAGTCACTATCCTTGTAGCACCAACCAGGCAAGGCTCGAAGTTTGGAACATGAATTCTAGATAGTTCTTTTTGCCTCTGCTTTGTCTTCTTCTTGATTTCACCTCGTTATTCCAACAGCTTCTGGTTTGAGATCCGAGATCCTTTTTTCACTTTTCGGCTTCTTAGTCGAAGATGGTTTTGAACTAAATGTTTCATTTCAGCATGACGACGATTGTAATTGTCGGTGTCGTCCTGGTGGCTATCATTGTGATCTTTCTTGGCTGCTACTTCCTCCTCCGATTCATTCACAGAGCCCTAGGATCCGATGGACGAAAGTACAGTAACAGTGAGTTTTTCATCAACACAAAACTAAAATTTTCTTTCTCATACGTCGAATAGCGAGAATGAGAGCGAAACTATGCTTTTCTGCCCCTATCAGGTCAGTGTATGGACTAAAAAACGAAGCCTTCCTTGCTTTCGGATTGAGCCTCCACATTCAATTCCATTAGGAGAATTCTATTCTTAGTCGATGTTTTAATGCGTATGGCCTACACAATGAATTTTGGTGGCCAGCCGATGTAAAGTATTGCCTGTGTTTATATCCTGTTAACTATTAACGGTCCCGGAGGGATGAATGGTTGCATCAGTTGGTCTGTTCGAGTAAAGCTTCGGTATTCTATCCCCGGGCCGTCCCTGTCTAATGGTGTGTCATTTGCCCATACAAGGCCTCTGCCCTATCAAGGCAAGTAATATAATAGTTACCCAATCCATTGACTGAAAGAGGAGCTCGGGTAACATTGGATCGGAAGGTTCCACGTATTTTTAACGACGTACTGTAGATAAATAAGTACTAAGAACTCTCTGCAACGAAGTAGTTCTAGCTAGTCCATAAGCCGACATTCAAATCCTGTACTCCCGTACTTTGAGCAGCAGGCTCAGTTATGAAGATAATAAAGAGCTGAGTCTCGAACCATCGCATATGAAAGTCCCAATAATGGAGGTCCGTTTTCTTTCACCTTTGTACACTTCTTAGGGAACACTATTATTAAAGTTTCCTTAATTAAACTAATTCCTTAGCCAATCCTTTTGTGATCCTCGAATCATTATCATCTCAAAATACACTTTCAAATGATTGATAAGCAAGATGGCATTTGAAGCCCTGAGCGATGAATGTGTGATTGATTTCAAATCACTGTTAACCTGTGTATTTCAACTTCAGATTAAAGGCACCGTTCGCGATGATTCAATGGGCGGGTGTGTCGATGACGTGTCCGCCNGGCGGACACGTCATCGACACACCCGCCCATTGAATCATCGCGAACGGTGCCTTTAATTTCTGGCCTTTTTCTGGATTTTTCTTGCCTGCAGCATTTTAGCAGTATTTTTACAGATTCTCCATACAGTAATGTTGTCATTCATTCGAAGCGTGTCTACGAGATTCAAGCAGAAGAAGGATGCTTCACTGGGCCACCGGACATTAACGACCCAGGCGAGGAGGCAGCGTCGAAAAGGTTCTTCTTTCATAAAATCTATTATTTCCTAAAGCCCTAGAGCTCATGTAACCGAAGCTGTAGCCGTTCAGCTCCCCATTTCATTATTGTTATTTTGTAGCACAACTTCCGAAGATAGACGCTCACTGAATGGGAGTGTAGACGGTGGTAGTGTAGGGTCATTAAAGAAACCCGAAACTGGAGACTTGAAAACGATACGAATGGAACACGACTACGAAGATCCCCGGCAGATGATGAGGAGGAAAGAGAAAAAGGTATATTCGATAGCAACTTTTGATTTGCTGTCTCCCTTGGTTATCCGTTGACAAAGTACAAACTCGTGACAATTCCGTCGGGCTCTACCGTAGTAGGGATTGTCGTATGCGTACTTCGAAAGCATCGTCGTTGACAGTGGGCGTCGCTGAATGCCAAGAACTTTAAAATGACTTCCTCGTTGGCATTTATGCTGCTCACACCGGCGTTAGCATTCCGTTGTGACTGAAGAAGCTAACAATGTGACGAAGTTAAAGTGTTGGTAGCACAGGAAATATTTCTCCCAAGAATTTCTCACTCGAAGAGCTCAAAGTGTCACAGCGTCGCCTTTGAATACTCAGATCGTTGAAATTCCGTTTAAGGAGGGATACCGAAATGGCCTTCAATAGAAAACATGTTGATATCCACGTTTTCAGAAAGTGTAAGTAATAATCGACGTAGTTTCCTGCAAAAAGAGGTGTTTGTGTCGTAAAACCTCTGAATTCTACTTACAAGAATGTCACCTGTCAAAATGACCTATCCTTTTCCCATGCATTATCATCGGAATGGATGGGATTTCCTAAAAAGGATTTCCAATGCTGAAAAGAGTTTTAGTTTTACTGAGTACTTTTGATAACATCATTCGCCCATGTTAACTTCCTGCCCGTGTCAGTAGCAGGGGCCTTCGTCCACGTTTGACCTAAATTTTCCACTTTTCATCATCACCTCACTCGGAGGCCAGTAGATTAATTTCAGCATCTCATTTGAGAAGTGTCGAACCGAACATTCTTAAGACTAGACTTTTGATTGGGAAATTCGCTAGTGAAGCTTCAAATCATTCCTAAACCTCTGGGCAAGGCGAAAGTGGGAACGTAACGCGGGCACAAGCTGAAGGACCGGCTCAGCATTTTTGAGATACAAAAAAAAACTAGCACAATTTGCCTACTGAGTCGAGTATTAAACAACAGGGTGACATGTGGCATGATGAAAGCCTGGATTTTTTTTCAACAATCGTCATTTGCAGTTGGGTTTACTGCTCTGGCAGCTAGTAAACTATTCAAGGAAACCTAAGAGCGCACCGATTATTCGAGTGAAACAGTGTAAAACAGTGACATTATTAGTAAAATAGTACGGTAATTGGTGTCATTAATTCGACATATTTCAGGTGCATAAGGATTCGGTGTGCGCACTGCTTTTCAAACCGGGCACAGAACCAAGGATGGTTTGAAGCATCCATTAGTTGCTGATTGCGGTTGTTTCTTCAAAGTTCACAGTGCATTCAAGTGTTGGCCAACACAAGTATAACTGGTGTCGTTATAACAACGAGGAGTATTTCTGTATTGGTGATCTGTCTGTTGCGACTACTCATTTCATAGAGAGATCTTTGATCATCGTAGTACTCTGATAGGAGGTAAGGAGTTTCGCCCATTACTATCCGCTTGTCTTACGATACCCCACCTCTCATGAGTGGATTGAAGCCACAAACGTATCCAGAAGTGATTCCAACACTTCGTCGGATCCCTAGGAGCTTGCAGCCCAGTTAGCTTTCTTTTCTGAAGCCGGATAGAAAGTATTTAGTCAATTGAATAGATCTCCCTGCTCGTTAGCTTCTTAGGTGCAAAAAGTAATCGGTACTTAGTTTGATCTCATAGACTACGGTTTCCCTGGGGCCTAGCCACAATATCGCTAAACAAAGCTTCTGCCGTTGAACTATACCCTTTTTTGTGTTCCGGAATTGATTGTTACGATATTTCTCACTTATGTTTGTTTATTGGTCTGGACTATTGGTTGATATGTGCGTCTTACAACAACGTAACGCTCTTCAAACTTTGTCAAATTCATTGTGCAATTACATTAGAACGGGATTATTTTTGTTTTCTTGTCAGAATTTTGATGTTGTTTGTTTGTGTATTTTCAACAATCGCACATCGTACAGGAAAATATGCATGTGTAAATATGTGTACTGTAGAGAGAAAAAATCATGTTCAATGATGTTTTTGCTTTCGATATTTATTGGTGGATTTACGATGTATTACAGTAAAATGCTGTATTCGCTATTTTTGTTCCTGGTCTGCGAAAAGCGTAGGTCCTACAGGGCGGCGGTATATATGGAACTCGTGTTGTTTAGAGGCTGAGTTGGTAATTATAACTGCTGTTGAGCACATTGGGGAACGAACTCCTCTAATTTTGACCATATTGTCCGAACACATCTCTTTGCATCTGGGAAATGTCATGATCTTGCATTAGCGACCGTTTGTTCTCCTCATTTTTCGGAGATGGATTCGAGGTACCATTTTGGATTTGGAGGAAAAATAGTGGTTGAACAAATTACCGTAACTGAAATGGCATAGAAGGGGTGTTTGGACGAGATTTTACTGTTGCCATTACCCAAAGAGCTGACTACATCAAGCCAAATCAGAAGAAAACTGCCTTTCGCTGCCGCCATGTGTCAGGAAAATTTATTTGAACACTCTACATGGGTTCCCTTGTGATCGGTGCAGCCTACAGTGCCGTTGAAACTCGTCCACGCATCCACACGGGCCAGTCTTCGAGCCTTTATAACTCATAAACCAGGCCGTTTCCCGACCTAATAGCGACACATGTGGTGTATGAGGAGACCTCAAATTCATCAATTTGGGGAAGTCTCAGAAAACATTTTAATCTTGAACTCTGTCTCTAATAAGGGAAAGTCTGTAAATCGAAGAATCTCTGTCACCCTCAGGCTGTTTATATAACAACGGAAAAGAATCGCCGATCCTTCCAATAAAGTGGATCCTCCATTTTCCAGCACAGGAAACATCGTTGTGGCAATGTTAATGGTGTTTTCTCATAAATCATTCAGACGCTGCAGGAACAATGAAAGGTTATAAGTGCATACCGATGACTATCGAAGTGGATGGTCTTCCCACGTCAGTACTAAAAATGAGGTTTCTAAGTAACACTCCTGTCTCTCCAACTCACCAAAGTCATCAGTTCCGAAGACGTTTGCGCTCAATGGTGAATGAAATTGTTCCTTGCTTCAAGCTGCGTGGCATCAATACTATGATGGTCGCTCTCCTACTGAAAAACCCTCTTTCATGACTCCCTTTTCGATGGTTCCTAGGCAATTTTTACATTATTTTCTGGTGTTTGCCCGCCTGTGGTGTCTTCTTCAGTGAGCAGGCAATCCCGCAAAGTCCCAACCGACTTGAATTGTTCCCCGCACCTTCCCATTTGACCCAGTATGGAGTTCAAAGCGTTCCAACTGCCTGTGGTTCCCAAATGCCACTACAAAACACGCAAGGCAACTGGTATGTCATTTTTGCAATTGTATTTGGTCGATGTATTATCGATGATTTGTATTCTGAGGAAGGCGTTAGACGCCGAAGTTGCCAAGGTTTCTTCTCAAATACAGTGAAGGAGTTCATGCAATCCGTTATGGGAAATTATTATCGAGCAGTAAACACCATTTGCAATGAACTAAACGAAGAATGGTTTAGCATGATGTGAAATCGTGGAAAGCTGTAAAAAAGTGAAGTCAAGCACTTGAATGTTCTCGGGATAGGAAATTCTCTGCCCTGAAGACAGAATTTTCAAGAAAGACCGGTGGCCTAGTGACGGAGATATTTCGAAACGTATCTGTTCAAAATAGAAACAGGGGATGCTCCCTGAGGACCAAAGAAAGCGAGCGAGTTTTCAGGGACTGCTGAGATGGGCGTCTTCTAATTTTTTTNTTTTTTTGTGCCAAAGGAAGTACAGGAAAATATGAAAATTTCGCCAAACATAATTTTTGCCTTCTACAGCACATATATTTACATATATATATGTACATGTTTATTTATTTATTTATTTATTGAATTTCGTAGGTATTTGGTGCCGGGTTTCAGCAAACACTCAGAACATCTATTTGTGCTCGGCAGCAGTTATAATTATTTACCAACTCAACCTCTGAACAACATAAGTTCCATACATACCGTCGCACTGCAAGACCGTCGCTTTCCTCTTTCGAGATCAGCTTCGAAACCAACTACAGCGCTAGGCATCTCACCTCGAATGACCTCATGGCCAAGTATCTTTTCCTTGTCAGTAATCTCTCGTTACTCGTTTGCATTTCACCTCTTCATCTTTGATAAAAAAAAACGTTCTCCTTCTTTCTCCATAAAAGTGCCTTCCTTCTTTGTGTTAAAAAGCTTGTAAGTCCTCCGTTCAGACATCATCACAGCTCCATCGCTGTAATCAGTCCCTCAAAAGCACTTTCGTATTCCTTTCGTCATTCCCTTCCTAGCATTGCTACCTTCTGAAAGCGACATTTCAATAACGACAAGATCGAAATCGCCGAAGTGCAACAAACACAGCACCACAACGTTTAGTTCTAAGAAACATTATTACAAAGTCTGCGGTTGCTTCGTAATGCCCTGCGTAGCTGTGATGAGGCAGAGCGAGAGTGTCAAACAAATTCGTTCAGAAGCGCTTACCACTTATCAGAATACCATTTTAGTGCACTTGGCGTCGTGGAAAAGAAAAAGCTCCTCGAATAGGTGAGTCTAAGAGATATGCAGTTTCAATACCATCTTTATTGTATGACTTCGCCGAAATATGAATCAGGCAGCCACCTCCGCGTTACGCCCTTTTTATTAAAACATATGACTCTGCCAACGTAGAAACCGGATTGTCATCTCCGTTATAGCATCTTCTCCTTGAAAACTACGTAAACTATCGCATGTTGTATTTTCTTTCCTAAAATTTTAAGATAAACGCAAACTTTCTTGTGTTCTATGTCATACGTATGTCTATTAATATCCTACACAGCTGTTTCCGTCGTCTTGGTTCAGCAAAGGTACTGTAAGAAGGCAAGAAGTTTGCATAAGTCGAAAAAATGAAAAATACACTAGCAATAGTTTTATCAGCGAATGTAATTTCATTCTTTGAGACTCCATTCGTTAATACAGCTGTTAGCTGTTTTCATTACGATTATTCGATACACATTCCAATACCTCAGCAATCGAATATGTATGTATGTATGTATGTATGTATGTATGTATGTATGTATGTATATGTATATGTATATGTATGTATATATAGGTGTGTGTATGTG